GGCCTTCGGTGGAGCTCCATATGGAGCCACGAACCGTGTGAGGGGTGTGCCGAAATGGGCGCGAGACGCATGCGAACACAGCCATTGGGGCCTTCGGTGGAGCTCCATATGGAGCCACGAACAGTGTGAGGGGTGTGCCGAAATGGGCGCGGGACGCATGTGGACGCAGCCAATGGGGCCTTCGGTGGAGCTCCCCATGGGGCCACGAAACGTGCGAGGGCTGTGCCGAAATGCGCGCGGGACACATGGGGACGCAGCCACTGGGGCCTTCGGTGGAGCTCCCTTCCTATCGGGCTACGAACAGTGTGAGGGGTGTGCCGAAATGGGCGCGGGACGCATGTGGACGCAACTTCTGGGGCCTCCGGTGGAGCTCCTTATAGGGGCCACGAAACGTGAGAGTGGTGCGCCGGAATCGGCGCGGGCCTTCGGTGGAGCTGCACATGGGGCCACGAAGCGTCTGAGAGGTGTGCCGAAATGAGCGCGGGACGCATGTGGAAGCAGGCACTGGGACCTTCGGTGGAGCTCCCTATGGGGCCACGAAGCATCTGGAGCTCCTTACGGGGCCACGAAACATGAGGGGTGTGCCGAAATTGGGCGCGAGACGCATGCGAACACAGCAATTGGGGCCTTCGGTGGAGCTCCATATGGAGCCACGAGCAGTGTAAGGGGTGTGCCAAAATGGGCACGGGACGCATGTGGACGCAGCCACTGGGGCCTTCGGTGGAGCTCCCTATGGGGCCACGAACAGTGTGAGGGGTGTGCCGAAATGGGCGTGGGACGCATGTGGACGCAGCCAATGGGGCCTTCAGTGGAGCTCCCTATGGGGCCACGAACCGTGTGAGGGGTGAGCCGAAATGGGCGCGGGACGCATGTGGACGCAGCCACTGGGGCCTGCGGTGGAGCTCCCTATGGGGCCACGAACAGTGTGAGGGGTGTGCCGAAATGGGCGCGGGACGCATGTGGACGCAGCCAATGGGGCCTTCAATGGAGCTCCCCATGAGGCCACGAACCGTGTGAGTGCTGTGCCAAAATGGGCGCAGGACGCATGCGGACGCAGCCAATGGGGCCTTCGGTGGAGCTCCCTATGGGGCCACGAACCGTGTGAGGGGTGAGCCGAAATGCGCGCGGAACGCATGTGGACGCAGCCACTGGGGCCTGCGGTGGAGCTCCCTATGGGGCCACGAAGCGTGTGAGAGGTGTGCCGAAATGCGAGCGGGACGCATGTGGACGCAGCCACTGGGACTTCGGTGGCGAACCTCATGGGGCCACGAAACGTGTGAGGGGTGTGCCGATATGGGTGATGATGGTGACGATGATGATGAAGATGACGACGACGACGACGACGACGACGATGATGACGATGATGACGATGATGATGATGGTGATGATGATGATGGTGATGATGATGATGATGACGACGAAGACACGCCGAGGATAGAGGCGGGTACATAAGGAGAAGGACAGAGGAGGATAAGGAGGAACGAAAGAGTGAGGGAGACGCGGGGCGCTGTCTCTTCAAAACGAGGCCCAACACCACAGGATGGTTGGGAAAAGCATGTTAGTTCCACAATAACACACAGGATGTTATGGTATGATGTCCCCTATGGGCGTTTTTAATCTGAATAATTTGGGTGTCGAAATAGTGCCGTCGCTGCAGCGTCAGCCTGATGTTAGGATCGGCGCTTTGCCCCCGTCGTTCAATGGCGCTCTCACCCAGCGCGGGCCGGACATTTGGTTCAGAATCCTTACTCATCGTTGTCGCCCATTCTCTTTCTCCTGGTCCGCCTTTCTTTGGTCCTCATACTCATCCCGCGCTTTCCACTCGAGTTCCCGCTGCAGCTGTTCATCCTGGTCCTCGTTTGTCATCCTCCCTTACCTCCTGCTCATCATCCTACTCATCCCTGTCCTGCTCCTCCTCCTGCTCCTCCTGCTCCTCCAGCTCCTCCTCCTCCTCCTCCTCCTCCTCCTCCTCCTCCAGCTCCTCCTCCTCCTCCTCCTCCTCCTCCTCCTCCTCCTCGTATGTACGCAGCTCCCCTTGACACGATGGGGTCTTTGGGGGATTTCCAGGCCCGCTGCGACACGCGTCGGCGGACGGAGGACAACTCCGTGCAGCTCGTCCTCCCCCCCCGCCTCGCCTCTCCTCCTCCCTCCTTCCCTCCCCCGTTCGGGGGCGTCCAAGAGGGGGCTTCGCGACTCATGGTCGGAGCCATGTGAGCGGGCCAACAGGGGGCTAGGGTACGCACTGAAAGAAGAAGCCGGGCCACGGAATCTGGGGAGATAGCATGGCCCCGGCCGTGACATCTCCCCAGATGTCACGCCCACCCCTAGTCATCGCCCTCCCTTGGGCGCCCCCGACCCCTGCTGGGCCGCGCGCGGGGGCTTGGGTTCCTGGGGTGAGGTCCGGCAGCGGATGGTACTCCGGCGGGGTGAGCACCGGCTGATCGCCAAAGCCGCCGAAGGTGGGGGTGCGCCGCGGCCGGGCCCTCGGCGGGGCGTCCTCCGCCTGGCCCCGCGGCGGGGCGAAGGGCCAGACCAGCGGGGAGGGCACAGAGAGGCGCGGTACGGAGGGGGGGCAAAAGGAAAGGGACAAGGAGGGGGGCGGCGGAGGACGGCGGAGGAGAGGGGGAGGGAAGGAGTGGAGGTGGAAGGTTTTTCCCAACCATCCTGTGGTGTTGGGTCCTCGTTTTGAAGAGACGGCGCCCCGCGTTCCCCACCTCCTCCTCCTCACCCCCCCCTCCCTCCTCCCATCATCATCATCATCATCATCATCATCATCATCATCATCATCATCATCATCATCATCATCATCATCATCATCATCATCATCATCATCATCATCATCATCATCATCATCATCATCATCATCATCATCATCATCATCATCATCCTCATCCTCATCACCTCATCATTCATCCTCATCATCATCATCATCATCATCATCATCATCATCATCATCATCAGCATCATCATCATCATTCATCATCATCTATCATCATCATCAGCATCATCAGCATCATCATCATCATCATCATCATCAATCACATCATCATCACATAATCATCATCATCATCATCATCATCATCATCATCATCATCATCATCATCATCATCATCATCTCCACCGTTTTCGCACACCCCTCACACGTTTCGTGGCCCCATATGGAGCTCCACCGAAGGCCCCAGTGCCGTCCGCATGCGTCCCGCACACCCATTCGGCACACCCCTCACACGTTTCGTGGCCCCATAGGGAGCTCCACCGAAGGCCCCAGTGGCTGCGGCCGCATGCGTCCCCACACCCATTTCGGCACACCCCTCACACGTTTCGTGGCCCATAGGGAGCTCCACCGAAGGCCCCAGTTGCGTCATTTCGGCACACCCCTCACATGCCCCAGGGAGCTCCACCGAAGGCCCCAGTGGCACCAGCATGCGCCCACCACATTTCGGCACACCCCTCACACGGTTCGTGGCCCCATAGGGAGCTCCACCGAAGGCCCCAGTTCGCATGGCACATTTCGGCACACCCCTCTACGGTTCGTGGGGAGCTCCACCGAAGGCCCCAGTGGCAGGGTCCGCATGCCTCCCCACCACTCATTTCGGCACACCCCTCACACGTTCGTGGCCCCATAGGGAGCTCCACCGAAGGCCCCAGTGGCCTGGTTCGCATGAAGGCCCCAGCGGCCCCAGGGTTCGCATGCCCCCCACACCCATTTCGGCACACCCCTCACACGTTTCGTGGCCCCATAGGGAGCTCCACCGAAGGCCCCAGTGGCAGGGTTCGCATGCCTCCCCACCACCCATTTCGGCACACCCCTCACACGTTTCGTGGCCCCATAGGGAGCTCCACCGAAGGCCCCAGTGGCAGGGTTCGCATGCCTCCCCACCACCCATTCGGCACACCCCTCACACGTTTCGTGGCCCCATAGGGAGCTCCACCGAAGGCCCCAGTGGCAGGGTTCGCATGCCTCCCCACCACCATTTCGGCACACCCCTCACACGTTTCGTGGCCCCAGTAGGGGCATGCCTCCCCACCACCCATTTCGGCACACCCCTCACACGTTTCGTGGCCCCATAGGGAGCTCCACCGAAGGCCCCAGTGGCAAGGTTCGCATGCCTCCCCCACCACCCCATGACAGGTCCGTGCACACCCCCTCACACGCCCTCATTCGTGGCCCCATAGGGAGCTCCACCGAAGGCCCCAGTGGTTCGCATGCCTCCCCACCACCCATTTCGGCACATCCCTCGCACGTTTCGTGGCCCCATGGGATTTCCACTGAAGGCCCCAGTGACTGGGTTCGCATGCGCCCCCACCCATTTCGGCACACCCCTCACACGTTTCGTGGCACCATAGGGAGCTCCACCGAAGACCCCAGTGGCAGAGTTCGCATGCCGCCCCCACACCAATTTCGGCACACCCCTCACACGTTTCGTGGCCCCACAGGGAGCTCCACCGAAGGCCCCAGTGGCTGCGTTCGCATGCCGCCCCCACACCAACTTCGGTGCACCCCTCACACGTTTCGTGGCCCCATAAGGAGCTCCACCGAAGGCCCCAGTGGCAACGTTCGCATGCCGCCCCCACACCCATTTCGGCACACCCCTCAAACGGTTCGTGGCCCCATAGGGAGATCCACCGAAGACGGTACCCACACCAGCATTACTCACAACTGCATATGGTTGGGTCCTTCGCCAGGCCAATTCTGGCAGGCAGAGGGGGGCAGAGGGGGGCAGAGGGGGGGGCAGAGGGATGGGGGGCATCGGGGGGGGGGGGGCAGAAGATCGAGGATCGAGGTTCGAGACCCTCGAGGTTCGAGACTTCGAAACTTCAAGGCCTCGACGTTCAAGGTTCGGAGGTTCGGCGATCGGGGCTCGAGGGCAGAAGGGGGGGCAGAGAGGCGCGGTTTTCAAGGAAAAGGAAATGGTGGTCAGGCGCTCTCTGCGAATATAATGCGCGCAGCTTCCCTCCGCGCTCCCCCCCCCCCCCCCCCACTCCCCACCCCACCCCAAGCAGGGCATGCGGGCACCGATGAAAGCACCGAGGTCACACAGTCAGCTGGCACTGATCCTCCTCTTCCTCTCCTCCGCCTCCTCCCCCTCCCCATCCTTCTCCTCCTCCTCATCCTCCTTCCCCTCCGTCTCCTCCTCCGCTTCCTCCTCCTCCGCCTCCTCCTCCGCCTTCTCCTGCCCCTGCCCTGCTCCTCCTCCTCCTCCTCCTCCTCCTCCTCCTCCTCCTCCTCCTCCTCCTCCTCCTCCTCCTCCTCCCTGCTCCAGCCCTTCTGGCACAAGCAATTTGTGCGTGCGGACCCCGACACTTCAGAAGGGCTGGGGGTTCGCGAGCCTGGCTGCGAAGGTGGCCCAGGACGGCGCACAGCGTGCTGTTCGGACGGGCCCAGCCATGGCGCCTGGCCGCACTGGTGGTCTTGCTGCTGCTGATCAGCGCACCTGGTTCTGCAGGTTCTGCATTCACCAGCGCACTGGTGAAAAGTTCTTCAACAAACCAGAACGTGACGTCTACTACCAGTGCAGAAGGTCAAAAGGGGCGTGCTTCCACAACTACAAGGAGCACGGTCTCCCAGTGTCCGTGCTGGTCCTTCGGCCGACAAGGCCCCGTGGAACCAGACTAAGCTGCAGCTCCAAGCAGCGCAGGACACCATCAATAAGCTGGAGGCACAGTTGCGTGAGCAGCGCGACAAGCCAGGCATCAAGAAGGACGAGGCCATGGACGTGGACGCTGGCGACGACGCTGGCACATCTACTGCCAACGATGGTCAATTCAATGAAGGAAAGGCTCGAACACGACTGGCCGAACTGGAGAAGCAGTTGGACATGGCCAGCAAGTGCGAGGGCCTCGCTTGGGTCACGCTCAAGGCCAACTTGGGGGGCGGAACGTGATGCGCTCCAGGCTGATATCAAAAAGCGGAAGCCTGCAGCAGCGAGGGTGTTCAATCTCCCTCGCAAGATGGAGGCTATGGGCGTCCAGATTGCAAAGCAGGAAAAATGTAGGACAAGCGTGTGCAACTACAAGATTTGCTAAATGAGATTGATGAGTCTGAGAAAGCGGTGGCCGAAAAGAAAGTCAAGCTCGATGAGATGCGTGCGCAGGCCTTGGAGGTTGCACAAGCCTCAGTCAAGCCTCCTGGAGCTCCCAGTGAGGAAGGTGCTGGGCAGGTGGCAGCTATTGTGCTCGACGCTTCAAAGCTTGGACAAGTACTACGCGATCTTGGGGCAGGTGAGCATGCTGATAAGTTGGCGGAAGACATCGCCAATCAGCTGCTTGCCATCATTGCCAATGCCCAGGCCACCGTGGTTGGCAGGGCTGGTATTCCTGCTGCTGGGTCAGCTGATGATCCTGCCGCTCGTGCAGCACGTGAGCTACAAGCCAAGCGCGATGCTGAAGCTGCTGCAGAGGCTGCTGCAAAACGGGCTGCTGAGGAGCAGAATGCCAGAGACAAGGCCATTGAGGAGGCCAGCGATGAGGCGCTCTCCACGATGTTGGAAGCTGCTGGCGTGGAGGTGCCGCCCGAGAAGCCCAACCTCAGGGAGGCGGCGAAGAAGCTCTTGCAGTTCAGGCAGCAGACCAAGCTCGGCAGCTTCCAGGTGTATTAGGAGATGCAGTTCATACGTGAAAATCGCTATGGTGCTGTTATTGCTCATGGCGTCTAATGTTGGAGGCAGCGGTTTGGATGTGAAGAGCTCGGCAGCCTCTTCTTCCAAACCGGCAATGTTTTATGATGGTTTCAGTGGAAGTTCGAGCTCGGCCACGCCATTGGACGGGTCTTGCGCTGCAACTGGAGAGGACAGCGATGCGAATCAAGCCAGAAAGGAAGCTGGCGGTAACACCATGCATGGACGCATTACCACCGTCAACACTGATGCTTCTGGGCCCTTGCGGCAATATCTTGAATCAGCGCGCGATGCCGCCATATTGGTTCAAGAGCACAAGGCGGATCACCAGATGCTTCCTATGCTCCAGCAGCAGATCCAGGACATCGGTTACCATGGTGTGTATGCAGCAGCTGAGCGTACTGAAGCAGACGGCCTCAGCTCGGGCGCGGCGGTGTTGGTGCCGACCTTTGCGATGATCACGGCGCCGCCACTGCTATCGTCGCAAACGTTATGGCCAGCAAGAGCGGTGGCTGCACAGGTCAACTGGGGCTGGAAAGGCGGAGTTGTTCTTGCGTCGCTCTACCCCAAAGACTCGGTTGGAATTGATGCCTACAACCAGTCCATCTTATATAAGTTGGCAAAGTATCTTGGCAGGCTGAACTCTCTTTCGAGACCATGGGTGGTTGGAGGTGATTGGAACCTTGAGTCGTATCAGCTTCGCGGGCAGCAATGGCTTGAGCAGATTCAGGCGATGTTTTTGGTACCTGGTGGTGCTACGTGCAGAGTTCACAAAGAAGCTGAAGGTCGTACTTATGATTGGTTTCTTCCTAGTGAGGCGATGGCTTCGCGAGCTGGTGCCCCCATGATCTTGGATGGCAAGATTTTACCCACGCATTCGCCTGTGGCCATTCCATTTGCAAAGACAGATAATGGTATATGGTTGCGCTTGCCTGTTGAACCTCGTCAGCTCCCGAAAGGACCAAATCTTGGCTGTTCCAGGTATCCTGTGAATTGGGTGCCAGTCATGAGGGCGATAGAGGATGTTGACGGGCAGGCCTCATTACAGCACGCATGGGATACGACATCGATGGCAGTTGAGCAGGAGTTGCGTGCACGGAATGACAAGGTAGGAGCTGGTCATGAGAGATACCTTGGACGAGGAGGACCAGCGCAGACTAAGTACGTCAAGGCGCAATGGAACCCGCGACAGGTGCGACTATGGGCCGCGACTTCGAGCTTGGCTTCAGGCTGCGCGTCGGGCTAAGCATTTTATGAAAGCGCGGGCCTTTTGGTGCAAGATGGCTGAGGCGTTCAAGCTTGAGGGCTGAAGTGCTGGCAAGTTTTACCTTCCTGACTACGCGAGTCCGCACTCTGACAAGGTCGTGGCATTGGAGACTACGAATGAAGAAATGGAGGAGGCTCGGCAGAAGGTCAAAGCCAAAAGACCACACTTGCGACCTAAGTCTCGGCGCGCGGGGGTGAAGTCTGATAAAAGGTGCACGACAGCCCGCACAACCACGTACAAGTTCTGAAGAAGATCTTAGATCTCACAAGCTGCTCAAACCGGCTGCAAGATCGGCGAGACCACTACTTGATGTGGTCAACTTCTTGAAGAAGGTGCACAATGCGCAGGACACGCTGCAGCACCTTGATGATTGGGCAGCTGATTTGTTTTCTGGAGATTTCACTATGAACGTCAGACCTGATTTTCTGACATTGGCATTCAAGATGGTGGAAGTTGCTGATGATATGATGATGGTGCATCAGAAGGGAGCTGGCAAATCTAGGCAATCATGGGTCAGGTCTGCATTTGAGAATGGAGCTGGTGCTGCACATCGAGCGTCGAAGGCAAAGGCATTGGAAGCTGCTGTCACTCACACTGATAACTCTCAGCCGTATCAACTTGCCGACAGAGAGCTTGAGTGCTGGAGTGAAGTATGGAGTTGTCATGAAGTGGTGGGCAACAAGCTACCTGCCGATTATCAGAGCTGGGATCTGCTACCGAAGCTGCGGCCTGAGGACCTTCTGGAAGCGGCGCTTACCTTTCCGTGGAAAACGTCGGTAGGTCCCACGCGACTGCATCCTCGCGCTTTCTGGTATCTCTCGCAGCCAGGCCTGGTCGCTCTTGCAACTCTATTTAGGATGTGCGAGCAGATGTTGATGTGGCCGTCTGACGGAATAGTCAATGAGATGGTTAGACTAGCAAAACCTGATGGGGGAACACGTCTTATCACCTTGGTCGAGTCGCTAGTCCGTCTTTGGCCCCGAGCTTGCCGACCGATTTCCAGAAGGTGAATTCGAGATCATGGTAGCCGGTGTATTTGGGGCAACCGACGCGGCTACTCATCCAGCTTCTCGGCGTATGAGCATAATTTACAAGCTGAAATAGCTGATCGACTAGGTGAATGTTCAATCACTGTATTTTTAGAAATGTAGAAATGTTCTGAGACGGTTATGTATGACGCCCTCATCATAGGGGCTAGGTCCGTGCAGTTCCCCATGAGGCTCCACTGGGTGCTCTTGGACTCGTACTCACAACCTAGAGTAATTCGGGCTTTTGGGTGCTGGAGCAAATCGACTCGGGCTCTGCAGGGTACTTGCGGGATGTACTCATGCTACTACTCTGATGTCTATATTGACATATAGAGCTGTCCATAAAGTTACCCAGGTGAGCCCCCGCGTGCACCCCAGGGCCTTGGTAGATGACTCTACCCTTCAGTGGACTGGGCCCAAGGAGGACACCGCTCATGAGTTGTTCAAGGGGGTCCAGAGCTTTGTGAAGGACACGTCCAGGCTCGGTCCCTTGCTCCAGATCAAAAAGTCTGGGTGGGTGGCTACGACTGCATCGGCAAGGCATGGGTTTGGAAGGCTTGCTCAGAACATCCACTTGAAGGCGAAGTCTTGGGTGAGGAGTCTGGGGCATGAGCTCAGTGGGCCCAAGCCGATCAGAAAGCAAGCTAAAGCCAGGTTGAAGCAGCTAGCAGATAGGCTACCCCGATAAAAAAATGTTGAGACGTGGAGCTAGTAATCGAGTTACGGCTTTATGGAGGACAGGTACCATGCCAGCTGCTGCCCATGGAGCCACAGTTTCAGGTGTCAACAACAGTGAGCTGGCCAAGCTTCGGCAGACGGCAGCAATGTTGGCGGGGAGGTCTAGTACGTCTTCCTCCCTCACGCTTGTCCTTGCCACACAGGCTGACGCCAAGTACGACCCCATATGATGCTACATTGGATCCAGTACGGGCTTATGCGTCGTTCATCTGGGACCAGAGGGTTAGTCTTGGGAGGCTTCAGAAGGCGCGGCAAAAAGTTCGGGAAATATGTTCGTCACGGCCTTCCTGGGCATCAGCCAAACGTCCAATAGCAGTGCTGATGCTAACGCTGGCAAGGATAGGCTGGGATAGGTTGTCCAGTGCGGTGTTGGTCAGTGATCTTGGCCACCACTTTGATCTTCTCCGTCTTCCTCCA